GACGAAGAGGATAATGTTTCTGTCTCTTCCTCCTCCCTCCCCCTTCTACTCTACTCCTCGCTCTGCTCCTCTGAGCTCCTCTAAAATCCTGCAAGGGTTTCCTAGTGTAAGCTAATATGGTTTTAAGAAGCATAGAAAAAAATGGTCTCATTTGTCTTTTGGGCTTACACATGGCTGCTTAAGCCACATGCCATCCAAAAATCTTACATGAACACTTACATGAAAAAAAATATAAAAATGTTTTCTGATACTTGTTAAAACATTCCATTTCTTGACCAGGGTTGACTTTAGTTGCCCAGTTTTAGACTCTGGTTTTCTCTTGATTACATTTACCCAAACCTTGTTGTCAGCACTTTTAGGTAGGAAATATTTTCCTTCAAACAAACTACACCTGTCAAACATAGGAAGTGCAAGTACTCCACTAGCTCAGCCAAAGGGGATGCTATTAATGTCTAATGGACACATGGATGGTTCCTTCTGCAGGGTGAAATGTTGGCGAGTGTCATTATTAAGTAACCAGGTAAAGCTTTTTGGGAAGAGATATTGTTGCTATGCTTTCAAAATGTATTTACTTATCTTTGAAGCTTTGATCAACACAATGAAAGTGTTATGTCATGCTCCAATAAATGAAAGTTAAGCAACTTCCACCATCTTGGCACACTGAAAACAAACTTAATGTATGAGCGGCGACTCTTACTGTGAAGTCTTTCTGACTCTGACGAAAATTACAAAATGAACTTTATTTATTATTTACTATAACACAAAACAAGTCACTGAGCCCTTAAACTTATCACAAAAGTATTTACTGAGGTCAGATGCAAGGGCTGACTTGCCACACACTTCTATAGGACCCAAAGGCTTTTTGCAATCACAGCTGTCAGTCACCGGTAGCCTTTAAAACGAGCGCTGGTGTAAGCCTCGTCTAAGCTGACTTCACTTTTCCGACCCAGAATGTATCTTGTATACTGCCTATAGGTATCAAGCAAATTATCTGCTAGAGCCTGACCGATTTAGGATTTTACAGTCTGATATTTGGTGATTTAAAACTATGGTATTTAAGTATATGTTTTGTTTTGGACACACGAACCATAGGCATTTCCCTGACATTTGTTATATGGAGTTCTTTATTTACTTGTTTACACTTGGTCCGACTGTTCGGATCAGCTGGTTGTCCTGTTTGTGGCATTCCAAATACATGTTGCCAACAGGGAAGTTCTAGAGTGCTCTTTTTTCACTTTTTGACCGTTATTACTTCATACACATAGATCAGCAAATAGTTCGTCAGATGGTATCGACCTGCCAATAAATCAATTGGGCTCCATTAGCCCAAACATAACTCAGAAGGGTAGCCAGTTTTATCTAACAAAGCCTGTCTGAGCTTCAGGAAGTTGGCTATCAGGTAAAGCTACGGCTGACATAAGCAGGGCATTAGATACATGGCGGTATTGCTTTGTTTTTAGAAGACGTTTTATCTTCTAGCTAATATTAGCTAATGCTAGCATCACTGCTAACACAGATGAACTGCAAACTACCTTACAAAGCAAAATAAAGTCTTAAGTGGATAACAGTGGATTTGTGCTGTGTAGTTAAGTTACAGCTAGATAGATGAATGTATCTTGCTTGCTAATCTTAGCACTAGAAAAATTATATCTCATCTCAATGGCTAGCTTGGCAAATATCCTTCACCACCCAATGTAAATTATATTACAATGATACTGTTAGATCTATATCAAACAGTATTGCTTTAGACACCTGTAAATCATTTAATGGAACAAAGTAAAAATATACAACAAAAATTTCCTTTCAACAATACTAGCAAACATGTGTGCTCAGCCAGCTAGCCATAACATGATTGTTTATGAAATTACCTTAATAAATATATTATGAACATAGTTCGAGGTTAATCTTGCTAATTAAGCTCTGATAATTATTGCAATGCTATTACAGACCATCGACCCATCGATCCAGCCATCCATGGATAGCAGTACGGCTTTTACATTTAACCACTGCCTTGACATATTTTTCATATTTTGGCAACCACATAACCATTTTCTCTGTTTCAAACTAGCCTCTCCATGCTTTTCAGTGGTATCGCTACATCTGAAAACACCAGAATATCGCAATCAGAGCATTACAGTCTTCATCATTATCATCCTTCATGATATTACAATTCATCCTCATCATTGTAGCACACACTGCAGATGTACTGGTATCTCTGTCCCCCTTCCCTCACTGGGTCTCTCTCCCTTGGCCCATCACCATGACGATGGGAGCCGGTTCCATGGATACAGTCACTAGGCAACCAGCAGCATCAGGAGCAGCAGCAGCAGCAAGAAACAGCAGTGTCCTGTCAGAGCTAAAGTGGAGCAGCAGTAGAACACTGAGCCACTCATCCTTCTTTATCTGTATGCAAGTTTTCTCTTTGAAGAGGAAATGTTAATGCATTTATCATTTCTTAGATCTGAAGCCTCGGTACTAGGCATGCTTAATTTAGACTGACAAAATGAGTACATCTATAGATGGGTTTAAATGTAAGTAATACGGAAAACTGATGATGACAAGATTGCAGTTACCTGAATATTATTTATTTCACCATCACTAAGTGCTCGTATGTAAAACCTTCTTCTGTCTTTAGTATTTCTCATAAACGGGAACCACCAAATGCCAAAGACAAGGGATTAAGTACCAACCATAAAGTATATTAATAAATAATTAGGGTTTTCAGTATAAATGAGATGGCTATTTATTTCGACAACTGACAGATTATTCATTTGCTCAGCTATAACAGACAGGCATAAAAACACAGATTTGCCCAAGCAATAGTCTAAAAACCAAAAAGCTGTTTCAATAAGATGATGAAAAACAGCAAATTCTCACACTGAGAAGGTGGAATTGGATAATGTTTGGCCATTTTAATTGAAAATATTACTCTATAGAAACCAAGCAATAATCAAAAGATCCACTTATTAAGTTGCTGACTATTGACCATCTTGCACTGGTATCACACTGTGCATTCTTAAAATAATCATTACCCATGGGTCAAACTGCAACCATCTTTGAACTTGATTTTCATGACTGCTGCTTACTTGTAAACTATCACGACGGCATCTTGTAGGGTTATGACACCAATTCTTGAAAAACCTTGTCCACAGATAGGCACATAAACACCTGCAGAAGTACTCAAAATGGTAGTTCCTGCTATGGTAGATGTAGCCAGGACCATATTTTTGTGCGCTACAGATACAGACTCACAAGGTGAAACAATATCGACTAAGCTGTGGCAGCTGCTAAATACTGGACTAATCCAGCTGTTGCTAACAGCTGGCAGATCATCATTCAAAGGAGAAAACAAATTCCACAAAGAGGGAAACAGTGAAAACTACTGCAAGTGTTCTGTTATCTATTCATGAGATAATTTAGGAAATGTGTGAGCAGCAATGTGCAAATGCAAGAAGGGGTTATACATGTAACCACACCAGAGATTCATCAATGTGTGAGTTTTATTATAACAGATCAACTGCTGTGAACTACTTCATGAAGTGTTTGCAAGGTCAGTTTTTTATTATTATTTGAAAAAAATGTCAGTTTTACAACCATCTGTCAGTAACTGAGTCCTGTGAATTGTTCCCTTGAAAATTATTGATCAGTCCAGTGGTTTGTGTTCGAAAGTCTCAGTGAACGTTTGGTTTGAAAAGTAATCTTCAACATACAGGCGTTAAATACAATCCATGGCTATAAGGTACTTGATTAGATTCCATTACTGGTACACATTTCTACCTGACAACCTCTCAAAAATCCCTTTATAGTCCCTAAAAAATCTACATGGTATTCTATATCTCATGTATCCTGAAGATGTGGCAGATCACTCTCCATGTCTGGAGAATTACACATGCAGCATGTAAGCTGTTGTGATCAGTGTGCCCAAAGAAAGAAACCAGTGCTGAACACATAATAGTGTTTTTTTGCAAAATGACACCAAAATGAGCAGCAACTTCAAAGCCCTGTCGAAAAAGAGTGTATAAATAGAACCGTCTTAGGAGCAACAAAGACAGAGAAGCTTTAAAATATGTTGCAGTTGAGATTGGAATTAAATATTCTCTTTGATTTTAAAAAGGAACAAAGGCTCTTTTTGTTGGTTTACAGCCCTGTAAGTCACATACATACACACACAGAAGAGACATGGACAACAAATTAGAGCTTGTATCTGTAAAAATTATGATCCAGTTAATAAAAAGCCATAACCTTCTACAGGTGCATAACTGCAGCCATAAAACATTTAGGCAGATGGTTAATAAGCCTTTGTCATTACAGGCTCATAACAAGCATGACAAACCGATACAGCTAAATAATGGTGCAGATAGTCTAATAAGCACAGCATACCTCAAGGTGGTGGATTTAACAGGTGTGAATGTGGTGCATTATATGAAAGCATGACGTTATAATGGCAACAGGGCTGGGGGCTACATGTCAAGACAAGAGGGTATGTGACACTGCATCATATATTATCCCCCCACACACCCCACCTCTCCCTGATCCTGCAGTCATGGTTGTTTCATTAGCTCATCTCGGAGCTTCAAAGGCCCTGGGTGGGGGGTGTCTATGAAAGGATGAAGGGGCTTAATTTGTGCGTACATTTAAGCGCCAAATTATTAAATATGGTGTACAGTGCCACTGTTCAGATGCTCAGTAGCAAAGCTCACCAAATTCTGAAAAATGCCATTCAAGTTGTCACGTGATGTCAGCCCAAGAAAAATGTATGGTCGTGACAAAACATGAGGGAAAACCATCAAATGTCCCTCCTGTGGACATTTACAGGATATTTTAATATTTATTTAAGTTATTTTTTTTTCTGTTTTTTATCCAGTAAAATCTGACTTCAGCTGCAGTCTTTGCTAACCCCAGATTAATGTGGTTATTCATTAAGGGAACTCCATCATTAGCACAGACTTAACATGAAATGGGCTACGGCAGCAGATATGTGTCTGTCACTGTCGCCTTACGTTGTAAAGTAGAGTAGTTATCCATCTGGCAGGCTGCTGGTGACGGATCCGGTTAAGAAAGAAAAAAATCACTCAGCTCGCCCCTTTGGAAACCGCAGCACCGGACGGGATCAGTCTACCGGGACAAACCGAACCGGTGTGAAACCAGGACAGGTACCCGCGCTATCAGCCGCATCTTTAGTGCCCCCGAAGCCAGAAGACGGAGGAGATGAGCGCATCAACCGGGGCAGTGTGATTCATCTCAGGGTCAGGTTTAAATCCAACTCGGTTACACGCGCGCAGACTACACACTGCTTTCAGTCACATCCCCTTCGGTCCATTTAGAAAATAAGAAGCAGGCGCGCAATGTCACAACACAGATTCCGTGACCAACGGAGGGGAGCGGCGTGCTTCTCCTTCTTCTTCTCCGGTACCGTAAAGCACGCTGCAGGAAAAAACACATTCAGCACGAGCATCCCCTCCCATACGTCCCTCGTAGAGAGAGAGAGAGAAAGAGAGAGGAGGGGGAGGAAAGATGGATGAAGATGGAACGAGGACGCGTGGATGTGCGTGCCTGTGTGCGGTAATCGCGCACGGGTGAGAGTTTGTGAGAGCAAAGAGGAGAAGTCGTCTTTTATCTCATTGTGCAGGTGCGCGTGCACGTGCACGTGAAGTCGAGGTTGTCTCTGAGACTGTTGCCATGCTGCCTCCATCTTTTCCTATGAGTTTTTTTTTTCTATTTTGGTGCGCAAAAATAGCCCGGTTTCGATTAGAGATAATATTCAATGAAAAGGTTTATTTTAAACAAACGCCACGCTCTTATAAGGCAATGTCTTTTAACGGATGATATGATGTAATAATGTCTTATTAACTATTAAGAAATTATCTTTTAACTCTATAGTTCCGCTACAAGCTACAACCAATTATGAGTTGCCACGTTGTTAAAAGATTCTTATTAACAATTATTAACTTAATTATAAGGGTCCTGCAAATAAGCCTGGACTACAATCCACTAATCACCAACTTGTAGTATTTATAACTGGATTTGATGGCATATTAGAGAATGATAAACCAAGAAAGCCCTTTATTGAAGTTAATACGAACAGACAGTAGTAATCCATCAGTCCTTATATTTATAAATGACTTATCCATTGTGCTTTATACTGTAACTATTTGCATTCCAAACAAGCGTCTCTTTTTCTTTAAATTACATATGACAAGTCACCAGCAATATCAGTATCTGAACCCACCCTGCTAAACACACACTAATCTTTGGCCTCTGTGATAAATGTGTCCCTCCTCCTCCTGACCATCATTTTAGCATCCAAAGTGAAATGTGAATCTGAAAGGCAACGGTGCCACGTTGTCATTGAATCTTAACCTATTCTCGCTTGCTCATTATTTAATTTCACAGCACAACTGTTGGTAATGATGCCTATCTCCACACTGACTGGCCTATAGTGGCATGACACAAGACACACAAACATCAAAGACGAGCCACACATGTGATGCAGTGGTGAAAGCAGCCGGGGACCCTGCTGGCATTGTGGAGGACATGATGGATGCTAAGTGAGCAGCCTTACCCAGAGCTCAGTGTGGTGCAAACTGCTGCTTACATTCAGTAGTCATCTGAGTGGGCTGCTGTTTTGAGGCTTCTAAGTCTAATCAGTTCATTCACAGGCAGCACGAGCCAATTCAATACTATTTGTTTATTTCAATTTCACTCAGCAGAGCTTAAACCCACTTTACAGAAATGCCCACTTTCTTCAGTCTTGGCAACACAAGTACAAACAGGTTGGCAGTGAAGTAATAGCTAAACTTCCTGTACGTATGCCTGTGTCTCAGCTCAGAGTTTCACTCTGAAGTGTAATCTGTTGCCTGCGGTTTTACACCTCAGCTGCACGTTTCATGCGGATTAGCAAAGATGAGCATCGTCATTTTCCAAAATCCTCGATTAAATCAACACTTTACATTTCTGCAAATCATTCCACACAGAGAGGCACTGGTTTGAGATCTGAGAAGCAGGACTGTGGCAGGAACATCAGGACAAATTAGCCTAAGGAGGGTGACAGCAGCTGTCCCTGCCTTATTTCTACTGCCCATAACGGCATAGTGAGGCTGCTCAGAGGCCAGCATGACACAGTGCATTGGCAGTAGGCAGCTTTAGGTGTGCAACTGTGTGAGTGCGTTATGTGTGTTACTGCAGAAGAGCACTCATACCTGCAGATCTGCTCTACAGGAAGTCAAATCCATGAATAAAATAGGATTCGATAATCAAATACAACAGATTAGACCCATTTTAATGCTGTAAAATAAATAAGATTAGACATTGGGTGTTAGACTGTTTTAATAGCATTTCAGTATACTTCTTCCCAATCATCCGAATGCTAAGAGTTTCTTTCCAAAACAGCAGCGACAGTCAGGATGTGTTTTCGATCAATTTAAACACTGTGTGAAATAAATTATATTGTAGGTCTGGACTGCTTGTGTGGGAGGTCATGACAACATGATAACAAGTACCATTAGAGTAGTACAATTAGAGTAATTATGTTGGCCCCTGGAAAAAATTAGATATAGGTACAGTAAATCTTGTGGCTCCCCGTGAAGACTTAAACCGACCTGTGACTTTGCAGCTCTGCTTTATTCTATTGTACTCAAGTCTACTGTAACAGTGACATAGTATCCTTATGCCATCTGTACCAGTAGGCAGTGCCAGGATGAAGCTCCCGTTAAACCCAGATGGCAGCACTGGGATTCTCCAAGATCGACTGAGTTTGACAACAGTCTGCGAGAAACCAGGAAGCCGGCCAGCCCGTCACCCTGTCACTCAGCTAGTCATCTTCTTCTGTCTAGCCCTTCTTTTTTCCTTTCCCACTACACATCCACTTTAACTCCATGTCAGTCCTTTAAGTATTTGGTTAAATAGCTTAAAATGTTCAGGGTCTAAAAAAAAAAATTCAGCTGGGACTGCATTTTGTTGCCTGGCAACAACAGATACCAAATATAGAGGCTTTTTAGATAATTTTGTTTTCAAAAGAGGACATCCTACAATAAAGAAGTCTACTTTTAGAACACGGATGACAGCACAAATGGAAAAACATTTTAAAAACACAGTACAGTCTACTGCTGAAAGGATGGTGAGCAGCTCCTCTTTTGAGACTCAAGCCACTGATTATGTACTCGTGCAGCTGAAGAAATAAAAATAAAGTGAAAATGTTATTTTTATTCTTCATTATTTAATACAACATGGTCAACTTTGAGGTATTATATACTCCTTACAAGTGAAACATTGCAAAATATTTACTGTTTCCTTTTGATGACTATGGCTTATAGGGGCGACTGCGGCTCAGGGGGTTGGGAATCGCATCTGTAACCGGAAGGTCGCCGGTTCGATCCCTGGGCTCTCTGTCCTGGTCGTTGTGTCCTTGGGCAAGACACTTTACCCTACTTGCCTACTGGTGATGGCCAGAGGGGCCGATGGCACGATAGGGCAGCCTCGCTTCTGTCAGTCTGCCCCAGGGCAGCTGTGGCTACAACTGTAGCTGCCTCCACTGTTGTATGAATGTGAGAGTGAATGAATAGTGGTATTGTAAAGCGCTTTGGGTGCCTTGAAAAGCGCTATATAAATCCAATCCATTATTATTATAGCTCATGAAAGTCACACACACACATCAGAAAAGTACTTTTGTTTATAAACACAGTACTTTACCATGAATTACTATATCGGTGCATGGTGACATAGAGGTGATCAACTTGTGGCAATGTGAAGGTGTTATTTAAGCCCAGGCTGCTTTGATAGCCACCTTCAACTCATTTCTTTTAGGTCAAGGTCACTCGAGGGCAATATCTGTCTGCTGATAGTAATATCATGGTCAGCAAACCCTTTGGTCGTAATGTTGGTGCTGTGGGGAGGTGTTGCGTCCTGCTGGAAAAGCAAAATCGTCACCTCCATAACGTTTTGTCAGCAGATGGAAGCATGAAGTGCACTAAAATCTCCCAGTAGCTGGGTAGCTTTGGACCAACCACCACCAAAACCAGAACCCCAAAACATCAGAGGCCCCTGAACCTTCACACTGGACCTTAAACACCTTGGAGTCTATGCCTCTCCACGCTTGGTCCATACTCTTAGACATTCATTTCCAATGAAGTTTCCCATTTTCAATTTCCAAATGAAATATAAAATTTAGTTTTATGTGAATAAATGACTTTGAACCACTGAGTAACAATCCTGTTCTTGTGCCTTTTCCCAGATAGATGCTTCTGACGGTGTTTGTGACTCAGGCCTGGCTTGATATCAGGAATCTGACCGTTGTACAGTAGCACCTTTCCTGAGGCCCCACGTTTGTTGTGGCCCCCCAGGCCTTAGTCCACTCCTTCTGAAGCTCTCCCAAGTTCTTCAATCGACTTTCCTTGACAATACTCTCAAAGCTTTGGTTATCTTTGTTGCTTGAGCACCTGTTACTACGAGGACGCTGTTCCCATCAACATTCCAGCAATATGCTTCCATACAGCACTCTGCAAACAGCCAGCCTTTGCAGGAATGACCTCCTGTGGCTTACTCTCAGAAGGGAGGAGGGTGTTAAAGATTGTCATGGCAACTGTCAAGTCAGCAGTCTTCCCCACAATTGTTGCATGAGATATACAGTATCTCTCGTATGTTTGCTTCTCAAGGTAAAAGCTTAACACACTAGCTTTGCATTGCCTTTAAAACACAGAGATAAGCAACGGTCAGTTTTTGGCCTATTGACTGTCAGAACCTAAATGCATCACTACTACAAGTGTTGTTTAGCCTTGTTTCACAAGGCTAAACAACACAATAGCCTTGTTTCACACCTGGAACCACATCTGGGGTCACATCTGAATCACTGCATAATCTGAAATTGATAACAGTTCAAATAGATTGGACAAATATAATAAAAACAGAAATAGAGGCAATCAATCAGACCTTACTGGGTACGGTTTCATTTTAAATGTCTACATCTATAAAATGATATAACAACTCTAACATTTCTTTACTCTATAAAGGAAATCAGGTATGGATACATAACCAATTACAAAAGCAAATGAACAAAGCAAACTAAAAAAGCTCGAGATGAAAAATGGATAATGCAAAATGTGTACATGCACTGACTGTACAGTATGTGCAGCCGGCTGCAGTTGCTTTTTTAGTTTGCTTTATTTTTCCATTTATTTCATCTGTGTGTTTCTTTTTTATTTCTTTTTTTTTCAGTTATTGCTTGTGATCATTGTGAGCTGTTACATCCTGGAAATGATTTGGGGGTTTTTCCCTTAAAAAAAAAACACGTTAATACTTGCTCCAGACAAAAGAGACTAGAAAGATGGAGACACAAGCTCCATTTCTTCATAGCGAATGGGAGCGCTGGAGAGGAGTGAAGATCACTGCTTACAAGTCCAGTTGTCAATAGGAACATCAAGATCA